GGACCTGAATGAACATGAGTGAGGAAGAGATGACCTGACTGGAGGTTAGTTTTCTGTTGAGTAGCCATAGAAAATAAGCATAATAATAATAATAATAATAATAATAGGAAAAGAAATGGGTGGAGGTGATCATAAGGTACAAAATTCCAGTTATAAAATAAGTCCTGGGAAAAAATAAAATAAAATAAAATAAGTTCTGGGGATATAATGTACAGCTTGGTGACTAATAATACTGTGTTGCATATTTGAAAGTTGCTAAGAGAATAGATCTTAAAAGTTCTCATCACAAGATATGACACTGTGTGTAACGGTGGTGGATGTTAATGACACTCACTGTGATGATCATTTTACAACATACATGTATATCAAGTCATTGTGTGGTATGCCCAAAACTAATACGATGCTATATGTCAACTGTAGCTCAATTTAAAAAAAAAGAAACAATAAAAAGTGAAGTTATTAGAAGTTGGAAGGCAGTAGAGGTTTCTAGAGAATGTGTAAATAAATGGCAATCAAGTTGAAGGGTCTTCAGTGGATCCTTTGATGAAGAGTTCAGCTGTGAATCAGGGTCATGCTCTCCAGAAACTGGAAGGATTGCCTTTGAGAGCATTTGTAAGATACAACTCGGCAACCTTCCACTTTGCATTTAGCAGCTAGCCAAACTCTGTGGTATGACTGATACCCCATACATAATCCCTCCAGACCATGTAGGGCCAAATGCCTACATGGGTCAGACTTCTTAACTAGGTAAAGGCCTTAGCAGGTATAGCAGTTTTCCAGGGTGACTATAACCAAAAAGAAAAGAAAAGGAAAAACAAATTTAAAAAGAAGAAGAAGAAGAAGCAACGGAGGGCTTTTAAAACCCAAGGAATTTAGACTTTGTCACTGAAACAAGAAGGATTTTTTGAAGAATTTGTGAACATTAACTGTAAATAAAGTAGTGGTTGGACTGAAGAGGATTCATTGGCGTGTTGCACAGGAAGAGGGGTGGAGCAAGGGGGCGGCCAAGGCCCCAAGTACAGCTTACTTTACCTAGACTCCTCAGGTCTCTTCTACCTTCTAGTTAAGTAAAAATTTTCCTCTGTCATCTCCCCTGCATTTAAAATCATTATTTTGGGGGCACCTGGGTGGCTCAGTCAGTTGAGTGTCTGCCTTCGGCTAAGGTCATGATCCTGGGGTCTTGGGAATGAAGTCCTGCATCTTGCTCCCTGCTCAGTAGAGAGTCTGCTTTTCCCTCTCCCTCTGCCGCTCCCCCTGCTGTGCATGCTCTCTCTCTCTCTGTCAAGTAAATAAATAAAATCTTTTAAAAAATAAGATAAAATTATTTTTGAATTGTCATGCTTTCTTCTTTTAGATCATAGTGTTTTATTCATTAAAAAGATTACCAGTTTATGGGATCCCTGGGTGGCACAGCGGTTTAGCGCCTGCCTTTGGCCCAGGGCGCGATCCTGGAGACCCGGGATCGAGTCCCACGTTGGGCTCCCAGTGCATGGATCCTGCTTCTCCCTCTGCCTGTGTCTCTGCCTCAATCTCTCTCTCTCACTGTGTGCCTATCATAAATAAATAAAATTTAAAAAAATAAAAAGATTACCAGTTTATAAAACAAAGTTTAAGCAACTAGAAGACTGCGTTCTGTTCCTCCCAGACAACTGGGAAAGAGGGTGGATAGATTTTAGCCTGGTTTCATTGAAATTTCTTTTATTTTTTATTTTTGAGAGGGAGAGAAAGAGAACCAGCAGAGAGGCTGGGGCAGAGGGAGAGAAGGAGAGAGAGAATCCCAAGCAGACTCCATGCACAGTCCTATGTGAGGCTCTATCTCACAACCCTGAGATCATAACCTGAGCCAAAATCAAGAGCCAGTCACTTAACCAACTGAGCAACCCAAGTACCTCTGTCTCATTGAATTTTAAGATAACTTTTTCTTTTGTAATCTTAAGCTTTTCTATTAAACATTAATGTGATGGTTAGGGGTGCCTGGCTGGCTCAGTTGGTAGAGCATGCAACTCTTGATCTCGGGGTCATGAGTTAAAGCCCCATGTTGGGTGTAGAGATGACTTTAAAAATAATAATACATAAAAAAATAAAATGATGGCTATACAGATGAGTTTATACATTCCAGTTTTGAGGTTTAGATTGTTGTTATGAGTATTTCCATCAGAAAGTCATTGTCATTCCAAATTATCTTACTTTACATATTGCTAAATTTTAAGATGATTCTGCTACTATAGAAAAATGTTTTTCCCCCATTTTTCTCAGATGTAAAATAGAAACCAATGGAAAAATCTTTGACTAAAATTCACTTTTAAAAAATGCTTTTATGTAAATATGGTGATGTACACATGTACCTGGGAATACCACAAATCTAGCATTCTACCAGGAATATATTAATATTTTTAGCAGAACCTTTTACCAGCTAGATATAGCTTGGTCATATGCAAATTAGAAATATTTTAGAAGTTATTTTCATCTACTAATTTGGTGTTTCCTTTAATTATTATTCAGTAAACTATATTTGTTGTTTGTTTTTAAATATTTATTTATTTGACAGAGAGAGAGAGCACAAGCAGGGGGCGGAGGGAGAGGGGGAAGCTGTCTTCTCACTGAGCAGGGAGCAGGATGTGGGGCTCGATCCCAGGATCCTGGGATCATGACCTGACCCAAAGACACTTAGCTGACTGAGCCACCCAGGCACCCCATGAAATTGTATTTGATTTAAAAAAAAAAAAAAAAAACAAACCAAAGGCATAACTTTTCCTTTATCGTTGTGCTTCAATTTGTCCTTTTCCTCAACAAGCATTTCCTGAGCACATTGTAGGGGGCACGCTGTCAAGTGCTTGGGTACAAACAGGACTCCTACTAAGGTCTCTTCAGGGTCCTGTTTGCAGGTAGGGGCCAGACTGGTGAGAAACGAGACCAAGTGTAATGATGACTCACAGGGCTCCAAGCAGGGTGTGGTAAGAAAGACAAGAACAGGATAGGCCCAGGCACCTGGTGACTCAGTGGCTGAGTGTCTGCCTTTGGCTCAAGTCATGATCCTGGGGTGCTGGGATCGAGTCCTGCCTCAGGATCCCCAGAGGGAGCCTGCCTTCCCTCTACCTAGATCTCTGCCTCTCATGAATAAATAAATAAAATCTTAAAAAAAAAAAGGCAGGATAAGGCGAGAAAAGGAAAGGATCAGGACAGGAGAATGTGATATTTGAATTGAGTCTGAAAAGATGAGAAAACTTGTAGCTGAGAGGATTGGAAAGAAATGGAATTCCTGATGGAGGCAGTGAGATCCAATGCTGTGGCATCCCAGCAGCCCTTTTGCCCAGGCTGGCCTCCAGCTATGGATGAAAATGGGAAGGAAGGTTTTTAGAGTCAAAGAAAACTTGTTTTTCTTTAAAAACTCAGAGGCTTTGTTTTCTTTAATAACTCAGAGCCTAGACACATTCTAAATGTGGATTGTGAGGTCATGATGTGCGTTGTGATACATCAGCACTTGATAGCGGATTACATAATTCTTGTATTCTCTTCTGGGAGCTTCAAATGATATAATCTTCCTTTTGTCCACTCTCGTCTCATTATACCTCTAATTCCATTAATTCTGTCTTTTAAAATAATTCTCTTTCTTTCCATATCCAACTTCGGATAAAACTACTTGAGACCAAAACCCAGCACTGTTGATAACAATTCACATCTAGAAATTTAGATCAGGTTCATAATTCATAGATTCAAAAGATCTTCCAGTATCAGACCCACCTTAAATATCTGTTCCTTTTAACTCCTTCTATTTGTTTTTTTTTAATTTTTATTTATTTATTTATGAGAGTCACAGAGAGAGAGAGAGAGAGAGAGAGAGAGAGAGAGAGAGAGAGAGAGGCAGAGACACAGGCAGAGGGAGAAGCAGGCTCCATGCACCAGGAGCCGGATGTGGGATTCGATCCCCGGTCTCCAGGATCGCGCCCTGGGCCAAAGGCAGGTGCTAAACCACTGCGCCACCCAGGGATCCCAACTCCTTCTATTTGTAATATTACTTGTGCATTACATTCCAGGTACTTTGTTATAGTTTAGGTACTGTGGTTGATAGAAATGAATGAAATAGACAAAGATTCTGACCTGATGCAACTTATATTTCAGTAATCACAACACTCTGAAAGATTGCTTCTTTTCTCCCACATAGCCAAAGGATTTATTAAAATTAGACTGCTACCTAAAGTAGGGTTTTCTTTCATGGGCTTTGCATAGCCACTGGGGCAAGAAGATATATATCTTCTTTATTACAGGGGTAAAAGACTTTTTTGGTAGCCAGTTCTATAGGGATAGACCAGTTTGATGTGGCATATTTTCTCTAGTTTATCTTTTGAAAGATGAATGTTTGAAGGTACTAAAAATATAATGGTTCCAGAGACAGATAAGTGGGTGAAGAGAGAAATATTTAAAGACAAGTTATTTGAAGCCTTCCTTGCCTTGTGCTTCAGTGAGGAGAGAGAGAAGCAGCCACCAAATGACTAATGCATCAGTAATAGCTGAGGTATACTTTATATAGGCAGAAGAGAAACATAGTAAGAAAGTAGAGACAAGGGACGCCTGGGTGGTTCAGCGGTTGAGCATCTGTCTTTGGCTCACGGCATGATCCTGGGGTTCCAGGATCAAGTCCCACATTACACTCCCTGTGAGGAGCCTGCTTCTCCCTCTGCCTATGTCTCTCTCTCTCTCTCTCTCTGTCTCTCATGAATAAATAAAATCTTAAAAAAAAAAAAAAAAGAAAGTAGAGACAACTAAATAGAGAATCCTGCTATGGCATTTAAAAAGTCTGATTATTGAAATTGCAACTGATTTGGGGGTGCCTGGCTGGCTTAGTCAGTAGAACATGCCGCTCTTGATCTCAAGGTCATGAGTTCGAGCCCCATGTGTGGTGCAGAGTTTACTTTAAAAAAATAAATAAAATTGCAACGGATTCAAAATAGAATATTTTAAGTTGTATTTTTTGATCAAAGTTCTTATGTGGTATTTTATAGATGCTGTGCCTACCCCCTCAGAAAAGAGCCCATCTCTGCAGACAAATGTGAGTTTGGACAAGAAATCAGACAGTACCATTACGAATATTGTAACCAAAAACCCTTTGCACATACGTCTAGAGAAGCAGTCAGCTGCAAAAAGTTTCGAAACATTGACAACTTTACCATCGTTTTGGTCATCAGATAAAGAAGAGTTTATCAGCCCTAATTTAAGGATGTCAAAATCAGATTCTACTTTCTATAACCAGGCCTCTGTAGAGACACTCTATGTCTCTCCCTCATTTAAAACATTTGACCCAGTGAAGGAGATTATAAGTAATAAGGACTTTCAGAAGCCAACACAATCCAGCATTTTTCAGATGGATGAGGAAAACCTCAAGCCTGTGACCACATGGGGTGAGTCTACACATGCGCGCATGTATACACACACACACTCTTTTTTTTTTTTTTAAGATTTTATTCATGAGAGACACATGGAGAGAGAGAGAGAGAGTCGAGACACAGGCAGAAGGAGAAGCAGGCTCCATTGCAGGGAGCCCGATGTGGAACTCGATCCCAGGACTCCAGGATCACACCCTGGGCCAAAGGCAGGCACTAAACTGCTTAGCCACCCAGGGATCCCCACACACCCTCTTTTGAAGCATTCTTCTGCTATTTTTCTATGCTTTCTGCCTCTGTTTTTGGTTCCCTTCTTTCACTCTTCATCCAGTGTTACTAAAATTACACACCAGAGAGAGAGACTTCTCAGTTAGGAAAGCATCCCTTTTATTAAAGACCTGAGAGGCAATTCATCATAGGGGGGTTCCAAGTGCTTGGTTGAAGCACAAGTTCTGAGCAGTTTTTTTTTTTTTAGATTTTTTTTATTTCTTTATTCATGAGAGACACACGGAAAGAAGCAGAGACATAGGGAGGGGGCGAAGCAGGGAGCCTGAGAGGAGCCTGATGCGGGACTCCATCCCAAGACTCCGGGATTGTGCCCTGAGCCAAAGGCAGATGCTCGACCACTGAGCCACCCAGGTGTCCCTAAGCAGTTCTAATGCTGAACAAACTAGAAAGAACTCACATTAAATAAGAGCTTCCTGTTAGGCATTTAGGTTACTTATTAAGAGATGATATAAAAAAGAATTAGTTATTATGTTTATTGGCACATACAAATAATATATATCTGTGTGTTTGTGTGCACATGGGGCCTTTTTTTTTTTTTAAAGGGCTGTATACTGATTGCAAAAAAGCAGTGGAGAACCTTTTCCTTTTTCTGTCCCATAAAACATTAAAAGGATTGCGGTATTCTTGAGCCTGGATGGTAAAGCATAAAGCCAATTGGGAATCCAGGCTGTTGGTTGTCAGTTACCAAATCCTGCATTGTATAATTATTCTTTCCTCTTTAAACCTAATTAATAGAAGAATAATTTGCTCATGCAGTTTTTTTTTAAGATTTTTTATCTGTTAGAGAGAGAGAGAGAGAGAGAGAGCACCATCATGGGGGGTGCAGAGGGGGAGGGAGAATTGAATGGGAAGCAAGCAGCTCCCCACTAAGCAGGGAGCCCAATGTGGGACTTCATCCCAGGACTGTGGGATCATGTGAGCCAAAGGCACTTAACTGACTCAGCCACCCAGCGCACCTGCTCAGTAATTTTTCAGATGGATGTAGTTTTACTGTTTTTTTGTATAGTAATGCTTACTAACTTATATAAATACAATGTTTTATTATAAATATTTTAAACTGCCTCAAACTCAGGTCAAAAGTACCATCATATATGTACAACAATAGAAGCCAGCGCATTGAGGCTAAAGAAAGTTACTTCTGTGTTAGTTAGGTCAGTGAATGATAGATTCTCCTTGCTGCCCTTCCCAGGACTTCGGGGGATCAAATAGCCTAAAAATAAACTGATTCTTAGTTTTGTTACCAAATAAACTGTCCTGCAGAGACTACCAATGTGGAAACCACTCAGTACTGGTCACCGTGACTGTGATGGTTTATATGTGTAGCTGTTGCCTGGGAAGTTGTTACTCTGACTTCATTTCTTTCACAAATACCACAGAAGGATAATTGAAAATAGGTTTTGGCTACTGCCTGTGTACCAAGCACACTTAGTTATAAACATCAGCTGGAAGTGACTCGAAAGCCAGTTAGCAAGGAAGATTTTTGCTTCTATAATGAAGTAGATAGTATTATCTAACCCTCCCACCAAAACTGGTTAAAGCTGGAAAACTATTAAAAGCTGGTTTGAAGTCCTATAAAACAACCAAGATAGAAAACACATAATGAGGTCAAGATCCTAGGAAAAGGACTGTGATACTGTAATATAATAAATATATATTTGGTCTTCATCCCTGATTCCTGGCCCAGAGCTCCTAAAACCCTTGGAATTTCCTGAGTGATAGGGGTGAGAAAAGTGTCCTTTTGTTATTTGTCATAAGCCCCTTTCTTGCATGCCTGTTTATTCTAGGGTGACCATTGGAGGTTGGGAGCTGGTTGCCAGAGTAACCAATCAGGTCACTAGAGGTTTAGAACTTCAGTCCCACCCCTCGATCTATAGGGATGTTGAGTTAATCACTCTTGACCAATGATTTGATCGATAATGTCTGTAATGGAACCTTCATAAAAAGCCCTAGGCAGTGGGGTTTAGAGAGCTTCCAGGTTGGTGAACACATGAAGTTTCTGGGAGAGTGGCATACCCAGAGAAGGCTTGGAAGCTCTGGGCCCTTTCCCCATACCTTGCCCTGTGCATCTTTTCCATTTGGCTCTTCCTGACTTATATCCTTTACAATAAACCAGTAACGGTAAGTAAAGCACATTCCTGAGTTCCATGAGCCATTGTAGTGATTTATCAAACCCAAAGAAGGGATCATGGGATCCCTCAATTTATACCTGGCAGGTCAGAAATACGGGAGGCCTAGACTTTTGCTTGGAATCTAAAGTGGTAGGTAGTCTTGAGATTAAGGGATTGAGCCCTTAATCTCTGGGAGCTGCACTAACTCTGGGTAGTGTCAGAATTGAATTAAATTATAGGACACTCAGTTGATGTCCACAGAGAATCAGAGAAATCCTTGTGTGTGAAACCCACACATTTGGTGTCAAGTGATGTGAATAAAGTAGGAAACTAGTTTACTTTCAGTTGGTTCCACATTCACCTGTTTACCCAGCATGGATCTTTTGCCTGTTAGCAGAGCAGGATGACAGAAACTGAGGGAAAAATCACAGGGCTGGACTCTCCACTGTCTCACTGAGCTTGGGAGACAGGATTGGAATTTGGGGCTTCCCAGGGAGAAGGGACTCCAGGGGCCAATATTCCAGAGGAGAGGAACTCACAGAGGAGAAAACCCAAAAATCTTTGTGTAATTTCTTACTGAAACATCTGCCTCCTGCTAAAAGATGCACACATTCTGGATGTGATGCCGAGAAACTAAATGGGAAGCAGCTTCGAAGGGGCCAGCATGCTACACAGAGATTCTGATAATCTCAGGGTGCTAGGAGACAGGAGTTTAGGATCTGCCAAGTTGTGTGGCTCTGGTCAGTACTCCATGTTCTCAGCTGGTTCCTCCACAGGCCACACCCAAAGCATCAGAACTACAGCCTGGGTTAAGGGCAGAGCAGAACCAGAACAGCCCTCATAGATGCTGAAATCCAGCTCCAGCTAGAGCAAAGTTATTGCTTTATAGCCCATCTGTCTTCTAGAAGACAACAAAATCCTTTCTTAAGAGCTCCTATCACTTTTCATGCAAAATTTTTGGCATTTAAAATACAGTAGAAAAACAGATAATGGAAACAGACCCTCAAATAAGCTAGATAACTGACATTACAAGATACTTTAAAATAGCTGTGATAAATATGATCAAGAGCACAGAGGGAAAGATGGAGAATTTCATCAGATACTAACATCTATAAAGAAAGAATGAAAGTTTCAGAGCTGAAAAATACAGTAGCCAACATTAAGCCCCTGAGAGTACTACTCAGTCATGGCCTGAGGTATCAAAGAGAGCCTCACTGGCAGAGGTGCTGGACAGTTATTCAAGAAATCAACAGGGAGGGAAACTCAGAAGGGGTGAACCCCACCCCACATTCTGTTTATAAACTCAACCTGAATCCTTGACTGACTGTTAAACTATACATGGAGGGGAAGACCCCAGTGTATTCAGTAGGGGGGAAAATGAGCACTGGAAATTATAAATAAATATGTGGGTAAATATAAAATGCTGTATACTTTATTATTATTATGATTTTTAAATGCAATATGATGTTTTATGGCAAAATTTTCCTACTGTATTTTGGGTTTTAAGACATGGAGATGTAGTATATATTGAAGCAGAGCACAAAGAATGGCTGAATTGTGTAGTTGTTAGCAGCCCAGGTTCTGGAGTCACACTGCCTGGGTTCATAATCTCAGCCTAGCCACTGGTGGCATGCCCTCTAGGCATCAGTATCTTCATCTGTGGAGTGGACACAGGGATGGCATTGCCACACACATGGAGGGGCTCCATGAATTCACAAACATGAAGCAGATCTGAGTAATCTGGTACCCAGCAAGTACCACAGAAAAGTTTGCTATTACTCCAGTGCCTCTATGTTTGATTCCACTTTTACAGTTCTAGGCCTGCAGCACCCTGCTAACCCTCCAGACCCACTCTGGTTATTTCCCCAAAGTACCCAGGAGTTCCTTGCTTATTATTCTCAGGAATGAGGAAACTCCGGTGCTTCCAGAAAGGGCCTTCCAAGCTGAGGAATAGTGCGCAGTTGTGATTGTACTAACCGAAGGGTTTCTAGGGAGCTCCAGTTCATTCTCCACAGAGCAGCCAGAGGATATGAGCCTGATATTTCCCCACGGAAGCCCCAGACTTCTGGAGTGTTCCTAAAGATCAAATAGGCTTCCGTGCCCTGCGATGGCTAGCTTCTGCCTCTCCCAGCAGCCTGGTGTTCTTTCCATTTGTCAAGTAAAGCAAATTGCTTTCACCACCTTTGTACTGTTGTTCCCTCGACTGGAACACTTCTGATCCACCCTTTCCCCAGTTCTCTCCTACTTATCCTTCAGGGGTCATCAACTCAAACATCACTTCTGTAAGATTTCCTGACCCCTTCAATGATCTCAGATCCCCTTTCCACTATACGTTGTCTAAGCACATATAATTATCCTTCTAGCATGTATTATCATCCTAATTCAGTATAATTACACATGCATTGAATTATTTAATGCCCCCTCAACCCCCCAAGTAGAATGTCCCCTTCCTCAGGGAAGGAACTGTGTCTGTCTGTTTATTATTGTATCCCCAGCACCAATCACAGTGTCTTGTATGTAATAGGTACCCAATATATAATAAGTGAATTAAAAGCACCCTAGTAAAGCAGGAATGAAATAGGAAATAACAGGAGAAAGCACTGGAAAATTATGCCAGGACAG